CGAAGTTATACGCACGACTCGCTTAAAGGAGGAATTCACGATTAGAATGAAGGTCGAAGAAAGGGAAACTGACCTAGTTGAGGGACCCACGGACCTCCTGAGGGTGCGAACTGACGCGCAATTCGCATGGAAAAATTTGACCTCGGCGACCTATCATGCCTCAAAGCTGGCGGGTCCGGCGATCTCCGCCCACCGATCATCTGATAACTTAGTATAATCGTATTCAATACGAAGTTATAGATAGCTGAAGGCGTCAGGGTTGAAAAAGGCAACAGCGATGAAGTCACTACATGTTTTATTAATTCGAAATCAACGGGCAAGGAAGGGGTACCATTTCTCGGGTTCTGGGCCGTTTCTCATGGTTCTTCCTTCTTTCGTGTACCACTCACCATCCCTAGGTTAATTTGAAATGGGTTGCTTTTTCATCGTGAATTCGTCCTTTAAACCAAACCTTTCAAGTTGAAATGAAAACCATTTGAATGCGCTAACCTTCCGCTATAAGATGCCGTTCCAGTGGGTACGTTTGTTCAGAATGCTGGAGCTCTGGAGGCGATGAACTGAGGGAAGGTCGTTTTAGCATCGGGTTGTGTTTTGAACCATTTCTCTTCAAGGGAACTATCGAGGCCCCCGAAAAAGTGACAGTTGATAGCCAGAGGTATACTGAGTAGGATATCTGCAGCACCCTTCTTAGCCTAGCTGGTCCAACTTGTGCAGGGTTGCGGTATGCGTGTAGGACAACTGTCAGAGATGTGTCCGTCCCTTTATAATGAGAAATGCTGAACCCGTATTTTGAAGATTTTGGTGAATTTTGACATGTTAAGAGTTCTCCTCCACTGTAACAGTTCCACCTGATACGGAAGAACTTGGCCAGCCGCTGACCTTGATGAAAGTTGCCATAACCCTCCTTCAGCACAGTTTAAGTTTTGCAAAGTTTGTAGAGCTTGATCGCCGTCGAGCTATTCAGCAAAGCTTCGTGGGCTATAGAGAAGAATCCGCTCTTCATTGTACGTCGCAAATCTGTAGAAAAACGAGTCGCTTTCATCACATAAAACAAGCTACAATTTGAGGAACGACCCTTCAAATTGGTGATTTGTCGCGGCACGCCCCTATCAAATTTTTTGGACTTTCCAGCTACTTCCGTATAGCTTGGCTCCACAAACCATATACGCCCAGGTTGGGCAGAACCTCCTCTATGGTCTTACGCACGAGTGCTTCAATCAGAACTTTTGGCTAATCGGTGGCAACGTCCGATATCCGACCACTACTCTCATCATATTCAAGGCTCTCGCTTTCGTTACAATAACTTTTTGAACTACTGCTTCTGAGCACATTTATTGCGAATCTAGGCCAAGTGCATCGTTAATATCTTGAACTGTTCCGCTACTTTCAGGTTTATTTAAAGGCAAAGTTCGGGCTCAGACCCACCTAAGAAGCCCTTACCATGGCTAGAAGTGCTGGGTACGCAAGTGCAAAGGTAGCGCCACCTTTCTACATCGAAACGCGTCACTAGGACCCTAGGCGCCATGGACTTCTAACAGACTCCACCAAACTTAACATGGTCCGCCCACCGTTCGATATCTTGTCTGCGTCGCCACGTTGATCTGCTATGCTCTCTCTTCTCGGACTTCTCTACCACTCTCCGCGCTCACATTATCTCTCATCTCCCTGTCTTTTGAACTTCTCCACAGCATAGAGCAAAATGCTCGTATTTCCTGTGTATTTCAGGATTTTCTTTCCTTTTTTCTCCTGGCGGTCCACCTCCCATCCCTACTTTCACATTTGAGTGGAATCAACCCATCAATGTAATCCTTGGTCTTGCCTGATCCTTGCGTGTATAAAGCTAGAAAAATCGTATAACTTGCTCATCAAGTCACCGCATCAAAAGCTTATGGAAAGTTAATTCCAAGTAAAATAAGCATCCAAATGTAGGATGATTTAGAAAAACGGACAGAACTTAAAGCCTAATACAATGAGGTTGATATAGCTAGAATTGGCTAATAACACTAAGTATATAATTATTCTCTTCAGATTTATTCTCAAATTTGATGACAAGATCACAAGAACAAAAAGGTCAATATATCATTTAATTTGGTACCTCACAAGAAACCCTTATTGAATATTCTGCAGGTAGGTAATCGTGGAATCACGGCTCATAAACATGACGAAAACATAGGAAAAGTAACAAAAACAAAATACATAATTGTGTTCGTGCTGCACTTTTACGTCTACAGGACCCAGAGCAAGCAGTCAACCTGTAGAAAGGCTACCTCAGCACCCTATGGCATTTGAGTCTAGTGCTTATATTCTGCATCGATCAATTTCGCGATTGTGTTCAGTTGAATATTTGAGGTTCCCTCATAAATTGTGCCTGAAAAACACTGATTTGAACATAGATAATTCCCTACAGGACCGGAATACGCCCCGGCATTCTCTTCAAATATATGAGTGAGCTCCTAATGGTAAAGCTAGAAGGAATTGGGCTATACGAAGAATGCGAAAAAGTTGGTAACTCAAGAAGCAACCCAAAACTGCACCAATTTTAGTCATTCTCTGTAGTATTTCTCCACGGGATACTCCTTCGTAAAACCTACTCCACCAAGCCATTCCACACATTTTGAAGCGGTACTACACGCCACCTGTAGAAGAGAAAATGAGAGAAAGATACAGAAACATTCACCGGTGACATACCTGAGATGAGTAGAGTTTCGCCATGGCGGCTTGCTTCACGAATGGAATGTTATTGTCCTGAAAGCTTGATTTTGAATAGATTCCCAGAAAGCCAATAAGTCCGAATCCCACGCTTCATTTTGCTGGCGTTTATTAACCCCAGTAATCGAGCAGCCTCGATCTCGACCGCTGCTTGAGAAATTTGATGTTGCATACCCTGAAATCCAACAAAAAATGAAATATTAGGAAATAAAAGAGATGGCTTGGTAAGTTACGCTAACTGCATCACTTGTCTGATACCACTAAGTGCCGAGAAAGTAAAGCCGTAGCGTTTACGGTCACGCTATTAACATTTCACAGTTAGCAAGACGATGAACTTTGAAGATGGGACTCGATCCCGCACCTCTAGCTTTAACAACCTAGCATTCTTGTGAAATATTGCACAGTGTTCCTTCGTGAATTGTTGCTCGCAGCCATGATTCACACGTACCATTTTATTATCAGGATTCATTTTTTTCTAGATTTCGTGCCATGCCTTCATGAAAAGCTCTGGAGACCGGTCGGCCCGTACGCATCCCAACTTTGAGAAGTGTGGACGAAAATTTATTGGGCCGCACAATCCAAAGAAGATTATCTTATTAAGCGCATTTTATTTGATTTATTGAAAGCACCAGAGTGGCTTCTCCCGCGATGTATGCCGGAACCATTCCTCCTCCGAAGCTTAACCGTTTCTTAATCTTCGACCACCTAATCCTCCTCTAGAACCTCCCGCCCACCGGTCCTCACGCTTGCCAATATAGCCTTGGGTATTATTCGCATCACGTTCAATGACACCACAACAACGTTTCAAAACGCAGGGCCGCGCGGGCGTATCGCACTCGTTACTGCTGGCGCAACCGGCGGCGGTTACTTCCAGGATGAAGAATTGAGGTACCTAGAGGAGACGAATTCGCTATCCTAAAAGCGATGCGCACTCCGTCCCTCTTCCTCCCGCCTCCCCTCCTGCCCGTCCCTGGCCTGCCCTCCCCTCCGGCTGCTACGGCAGCACCATGTAGAATGAAACTGAGTCTGCTCGATGGTGTTTATATAGCCGTGTGAGTGTTGTCATAGTCATGAAAACAACATCACGATGCGTAGCCATTCGAGCTCCTCCGTTGTGTTAACGGTCGCTCCAGACGGACAGAACGACACACACACACACACATAAACCGACACACCAAACGACAAACCCGACACTTTTGTGGTTTATATATGAAGTGATTACAAATTTTATGTTATATATTTTATTTTATTTTAACCAATGCGATTTTTTCTCTTTTTTCTCAGCTATGACTATTGCAATAGGATACTTCCAAAATCTTGACAAAGTACAAGTGAAATTACCAAATTAAGAAATACTATGTTACCTGAAAGTCGATTAACCGTGATCCGAATTGCTTCCGTTCCTGCAGGTAAGGGATGGTGGCATCGAAACACCCTTGTGCTAATCCAATCATTTGAGCACCAATACCAATTCGACCGGCGTTCAAACATTCGATAGCGTATTTATAACCTGAAGCCTATGTCATCGAAGAAATTACTGAAAAGAAACAAAATAAATAGGTTTAAATATCATACGAGAAATGTAAGATATAAATTTAAGGTGAGCAAAGAAGCTCTTGAAGTGGAAGAATAAATACGAAATCATTCGCAACAAATCGTCTGATCTTCTACGGTTTGAAGTAAAAGGCATGAATTTTCAGTGGTGAAACTCCATTGCCAATATTTCTCACTACGAAAACCTTCAGGGCAAGGAGCTTATGATATTCCTACACCCGGCAGGTTAATGGAGAAATCATGGAAGAATAACTATTCATTCTGCATAATAGATCGAAGCTGACCATTGGTGCTAGGTTACGCCACGCACTGACGACACTGATGGAAATCGTGGCATCAATAAATTGAAGAGAAGGGGGGTCCTGGGTCATGATACAGAATCATCCTAGTTTCGAAATCAGGTGTTGATGTGTGTTATTTTTCGATAATAAACCCTCTCGGGTATTTTTAAACCCGCATCACTTAAACATCTGTCGTAGTCAAGAGCCGGAACAGTTTTCTCCTGCACTGTTTCCTCGTCCTAGATTTCCGAGAATTCAAGGCATTCCAAAGAAAAACCATTAGCTTAATCAATCCTGGAGACTCGTTTATTGAAAGAAAAAACTTTTTTAGCAAATCTCTTGAGCGCTACATATTTTTAACCAGCGACTATGAACTCTACTTATAAAGGCACCCCAGAGACCATGCGGATGTGCCTCTTGCACACGAAAATGATAGCGCTAGTCCGAAGCGGACTGGCAGGGAAGAAAAAAAGAAAAGGAATTTCGAATGAAGCCCAAGCCATGTGCTCGCTCACTTTTGCGCTGAAGCAGTGAGTAACAGTGTACGGAGGAAAGTGAATGGGCGAAGAACATAGTGGACGAGAGAGCGCAGACAACAGAATGCTGCGGACGATGGAATTGAAGACGTCAAAGCGGGTCCTCGTAAGACCCTACCACGTTCGCAAAACCACTGAATCGTTTAGGTAAGCTCTCTGTTGGCTAATCATTGTCCTGGTGCGCAGTTTTCTTCGACGTTTACCTTGCTGGTAAGATCCTCTTCTCTGGTATTCAAATTAGCACCAGTTTTCCCGATTAAATGGCTAATGTAGGTGGATGCTACTAACTTTGAGTACACATACAGCGTATCAAGGCAGTGCTGCTTTGGGCGTTCTTTAGGCAGCTCCCAGCCACCCCTGCATGCACTGATCTTACCTATATTGTCATAATTTCCGTGAAGTGAGGCCACACCCACAAAGACAAACTCGGCGCACTTTTCAGCAGTGGGGGCTACACCGAAGCGATCTCGTATGGTATCGTTGGGAGCACGATTTAAAGGAGGATTCCACGAAGAGAACGAAGGTCGAAGAATGGAAAACTTACTTACGATAGTGGAGAGACAAGCGAACCCCTCTCCCTTGAAAGTGCGGCCGAACAAGCAATTCGCATCGAAGGATATGCTGCGGCGATCTGGTATGGCCTTCCCTTTGGCGCAATTGGCGCGACACCGACACAGCAGAGAGAGCGTTATTAAGTTAGTTAGAAGGGGTCCCCATTTCGTGGTCCAGACCGTTTCACACGGTTTCTTCTTCATCCCTACTTCACTGACTAGCTCTACCATTTCCCATAAGCTTACATTTCATAGTGAAATACGCCATCAAAGAGCCTCCAATACACCGAGGCGGACTTCTATTTCTGTGATCGTGAGCCAGCACTAAACTCCGTCCACTGCTACTGATCATATAATGGCCCTGTAGATCTCGTCTTTGGGAGAACGTCTGACTTCTACTTGCAGAGAAGGTCCGTCATAAAACGCCTCTTGGATAAAGCGGAATTCACTCGTGAGATCATTTCGGTACTCGTAGTGCTATAAACGCGATTACTGACTAAACTAATCGAACCAACCGCGCACCGGTGCGCTACCTCTCCACACTGCTTTTGATGTTCCCGGAATGAAAGCCAACTACAACCCCCCCCCTCCTTCACGGGTACCCACTCCGCATCATCTTAGCCTAACGCTCGCACCCGCGGTCCCATCACAGCGCACCTCTCTCGCCTAGCTTAAGCCCACGTTCACCCCATACACGGCGACTGACACGGCACTACATACTACAAGACAACATATCTTATTTTGGCTGCCTATAATTTCGTAAGTACATGATGTGTACCCCTGGGGGGGGCCACTCCATTTTTTCCAATACTCAAGATAAGGATTAGAGGGCTCACGACACGTAATCGACTCATTTAAAGTAGACTTCTGATAAATATTGGTGTAATGGGTGAGAAACCCTGAAACGTTTTCACATTTCCGCCTGCCATGACCCAAGGGAACGGTCCTGGACCAGGAGAAAGGACACCTCCGCAAAGGGCTAAGGGTGCAGGAGCTCCAGGGTGGATCACCTGTGCAGAAAAGTGGATGGGATGTGGGCAGGTAGTGTGGAATGTAGGACATCCACCGGTCCTTATCAAAAGTACGCTCGAAATGAGTCGTTCACTTATTATCTTATCCGTAGTGTTCGATAGCCCAAAGAACTGCTCTCTAGTACTACGGATAAGATAGCAATGGAGTGCCCCCGAACTGGAGTTTCACTGTGTGGATAAAAACAATCTCTTTAGTTCTTTCAGCATCGAAAATAAAGTTAAAAAAGACGAAAAAGTAAAGATGGAAGGTTCGAGAGTCAGAAAGCAGCAAACGCACCTTTTCCATATTCACCAAGTATAGCAGTCTTGGGCACCCTTACATTCTCAAAGAAGACCGAACATGTGGATGAAGCACGAATTCCTAGCTTATCCTCCTTCTTTGCCACCGTAACTCCTTCCTGATTTCTGTCCACTAGAAAACAGGTAATGCCTTTGTAGCCCTTGGATGGGTCTGCGTTAGCAAATACCTAAACATTTTTATGCAGAAATAATTTCTAATGACAATTTACACGGATGCTATTTCAAACAGAGTATTAGCATTTTCATCAGTTCAACTAATAGTTATGATCTAAATGTTAAGCAATAGCTGTTTAACATTTAGACCTTATGAGGCTTCGGGACAGCACCATACGAAGATAATAGTTATGATGTTTATTCTGATGTTTTCCTTGTGCAGTATAGGTTCTTATGTAAAAACTCTAATTATCGGGTCGACCAATTCGTTTTTTTCGAAGGCACACTTCACCACAGAGACCTTAGGCAAGAGGAGACAGAGCTCATAGTCAGTTGCAATAAGAAATGTTCTTGCGATGGTGAACTGGGCCTTTGAGGAAGTCGACGTGGTCGAAACGTCGAGCTCATATATGAAGCTCACCTGAAAACCTGTAAGGCACAAGAAAAACATTAATAAACATCGGTACCGAGGATGTACGAAGAGAGAAGTTAAACTCCACTGGAAGTTACAAATTTTCTGCTTATATAAGTGTTTAAGAACTCAAAATAGAAGGAGGGCAGATGAGCATATGCATATGTCGTAGTCTCGCATTCAGGAAAAATGAAGTCGTGAAATGAAGCGGTATTCGGGGCAAACCAACACCAACACAGTCTAAATAGCACGACGCGAACATGCAACTCAACCATTCAGAAATGTTTCTGCGCCTCCGCTTGGTCGCTTGCGCGCCGGGCCTTCTGCCCAAAATGCTCACTTTCCATAAACTCCGATTGTTTTAGGCTGGTGTCAGAGTCCGCGATCCGTCGCGCGATTCGCGCGAATCGCGCGACGGATCGCAGAAATCACAAGTGCCCCGATCAATACTGCGAGGTGCTCTCCAATCCCGCCGCCATTTGGATGATGGTGATTGAATGACGACTGTTCATGATTCCATTTTTTTCATATTAAGTGTTTCAAATGTTGAAATGGGTCACTTTTGATTCGCGCAAAGCGCGTAGCAAAGACTTTTTCTCCAGCCTTACTTCGCATCGTTGAAGTTCCCGTGAGAAGGGCGTAACAGCGTGAACAGTGAAAATAACAAGGCCATACCCACCCCACACTGTATGTGAGTAACGGGCAACTGATCATGCAATCTCATCATGCGGTCTTCAGCTACGACGAGAAAGCACGGTCGGTTCTCTAGCATAGTAGATCGTCTGACAAATGCTAGGAGCGTTACTGGTGAACAATATCAATGAATAATGTTGCGAAAGGGAAGGCTATCATCCATCACCTTTTCTGATCTTCCAGTCCGAAGATTTGTACGCGGGGAATCTTCAAAAGAATCTTAGCCCTCTCAAAACTAGATGTTGAAGTGAAAGAAAGCATGCAATGTGCTTGTACCTTACGCACCGGAACTGTCTCCCCAAGCAGACAACAAATTCTGAGGAA